CGTTAATTTTGAGAAAAATGCAAGCGCGGACGTCTCAGCTGTGAAAGATATCAAAGCTATTTCAGAAGGAAGCTGCTGCAGCCGCTGCAGTTGCTGCTGCGACTGCGGCCGCTACGGTTGCCGCAGCCGCTGCTGTAGAATTGCTCTCTGCTCCAGTTCCACCATCGTCAGCAGTATCACCGCAAACAGTCGCATCTGCGCAGACGACGTCGTCCACAGTGCAGTCGGCAGCCACAACGGCACCGATGACCGCTACCGACAAGGCAACGCAAAGCGCGGCTACTCCGGTGGTAAGTTTGAGTTTTCTACTCATTTTCGTGCTTACACAACGTCTGGTGCTTGTAGCCTACGTCGGAAGACATGCCTGATGGGCAGGTTGCTACACATGAAGAAAAGAAGAAAGCCAAGCGGAAGATCGCATTGGAGGTTTTGAAAGTCGACAATGCTAAAGATCAACCAGCGGTGAGTTGTTGTCGAAGTTCCTTTGTTCTGAAATGTTCTCTGAATATGAATACGTTTTTTTGCAGCTCGTCTCGTGTAGACTCGATACTGCGCACAAAACGGTAACGTTCCAGTTTGCGCCAGATTCAGATAAACCTTCTGTGATTGCGGAAAAACTTGTACGTTATCACAAATCACTTTTTCTTTATAGTAAATTCTAATTTTTTTAGCTGGCCGAGAACTGTCTTGCCCCTCATCATGTTGCTATAGTGGAAGATCAACTAGAGCAGATAATTGACGTTTGTGTTTTTTATTAAAATCTCTTGTTTCAGCGTAAAAATGCTTAATTTCAGCTTGTTAACAAAGGAAATCCTCGTGTGGTTGGTACAAAACTTACAACAGTAGTAGAAACACAAACAACTACCACCACTAGTAACCTTTCATCTGGGCCACCTACGGCAAGGGTAAGCAGATTTTTTTGAACCAGAAAACCCAAAATTGGAGACGGGACTTGTGAATGTGTTTGAATATAGGCTGCTGCTTCTCCTGCACCACCATCTGCAGCTGCTCAGTTAGTTGCTCAGGGAGTTGCTCCGAA